TATTAAACAGCTCAATCGCCCTCGGATACTTCCCCCGGAAATGGAAGCAGGTCGTAGTTGTCATGATTCCGAAACAGGGCCAGAATCCGCTGTTTCCCCAGATTCATCGTCCGATTAGTCTGCTTTGCTCAACGGCTAAGCTGGCCGAACGTGACGTGCTGCAAAGGCTGACCGAAGAAGTTGAAGATCGAAATGTTCTGCCTGATGAACAATTCGGCTCTGAGACTGGTCGAAAACTCCATCTCAGAGCTTAACAATAGGAAAACACTTCATCTCGTCCTCCTGGACATTTCGAAAGTTTTCGACTGAGTATGACACGAAGGATTATTACACAAAATGCTTGATTTTGACCTGCCTCGGGGCCTGATCCGGTGGATTAGGTCCTTTGTGAAAGGCAGAACATTTCAGGTCCGAGTTGAAGGAACCCTGTCTCCTGTCAGAGAAATCCAAGATGGAGTGCCTTTAGGAGCTGTCTTCACCACTGTACAGCCTTTACGTGAGCGACCTTCCGAGGTTCGATAACCCATGATAATCCATTAGTCAGGAAAGCTATAGATTACACTATAAACAACCCTACTCGATTCAGAAGGCTCCGTCGCTCGATTGAGTGAAGGCCCCACGACGTCTGTTGAAATGAACAGTTTGTTCATCAAATACCCCAGTCAAGAAGGGGTACACAAGGCCAGAGCGGCATACATATCATTGACCTTTATGTCGCTACCAAAACACCCTACGTTATGAACCACTCATCCTCCTGACGAAAGACAGTTAAAAGGGTAAGGGATAAGGTTCCAACCTGACTAAGATGAAGATGCTATCGTGTGCTGTTCATCAGGAATCTATATTGTCTCCAATCTTTTTTTTATTGTATATCAACGACTTATTGAAAAAACCCAAGAATGCAATATATTGCTTTGCTGACGACATCACACTTGTCTCGTTATTTCAGTTGGATTCCAGTACATTGGCTGCGGATGTACATCTTCACTGGTAGCAGGAGGTTTCATATCCTGATGAGGATCTAGAAGTAATTTCGAATTGGGGTGAAAGTATTCAGGTTTAATTCAATGCCATAAAAACAAGGCATCGGTTTTCTCCAGAAACATAATAACGTTCAGACAATTCCACTGCTCTCAGATCTCCTTGATAATTTTTCTGTAGTGCTTGTATTTTGTCCTTAAAAAAAGCGTTGAATGAGTGTTGAAATTATTACTGTTTTCATACCGATATAGCTGGACATTTCCATTATCATTATCATTATCGAAATATTATCATGAATTATGCATTTGTTTCAGATTTGTTCAGTCTATTATATTGTTAATTATTATTGATATGATTATTTAAAATATATTCAGTTCGAATATCAATTATTGTTATTGTGGTTGGATTTTGATATTATTGAAACTTCTGATAATGAAAATCAAGAAAACTGAGAAGAGATGTGTTATTCTTATTTTATCAATATAGTAACCGATGATACACATATGACTAACCTCTGACGATATAATCTTCGAGAACGGATTATGGAGACTGGTGTGGACGGTTGGACAGTGAACACGGTAATATTATGGAAGTCTTGCATTATATTATACATATATCATATTACAGTTGGTCCAATAATCATTAGGCATTAGTATCGTGCGTTTGGTTATCCAAATTAGCTCTATCAGGAGATTACTGAAAGAAGGTTTTGGCATCATTCAGTTACACTAATGTATTGAAAAATCGTCTCATATACGCCATTGGTATAGTGCTACAAAATTTCTATATTGAAACCGTTATTATTTCTTTGGAAAAGATTTGTGAATCAACACTCTTCTGTATTTAAATTATTTCTACATATGAGCTGCATCGCAGTACCTTGGCCTAGTTGTATAATTGATGAATTGGATTTATCTAAGAAAGAAATGTTGAAGCCTTTCACACATTGCAGTACGCAGTTCACCAATATGTTCTCCAGCTGATTGGTCAATCGCAGCAACTTTTTTGGTTTTGCCAATGGAGATGAATTCTGAAACGCACTTTTTTGGCTTCCTAGTATGTGGAAGAGCCGAATGTCGATTTACATGAGCTGATTTTTACCAACTTTCCAGGCCAGTGATGGAAAAAATTCGTCTAGTGTCATTATATTGTGTTTGATTGATAAAAAGGTTTCACTGAATATTTTGAAAACTTTTGAAAAAATAATTTTTTACACATTTCACCAGTTTGGTTAATAGAGAAATTCGATACCAATCGAAAGCATGAAGCCTATAGAATATGCACACGTTAGGTTGCACTGGTTGGTTATTGAATTGAACTTAAATTAAAATGAAGACTATTTCATTACAAACATGACGGTATAGGGTTGTATAAAAAAAATCAGTCCTAAATGGCGGTTGTCAGTTTAAAAAAGTGAATTACTGCTGCGAGTGAATACGTGCCACAGAAAGGTCCCAACAAACTATCCAATGCGATAGAAGAGGATACAGCATTGCAGCTGGGTGGAGTTCGTCCACTGAATGAAAGAAAGTGCCTATGATATTTTTCCGTGAAAATGAAAAGAATAGCGACAGACTCGTAAATGCTTCGCATCATTTTGATGTAACTTGGTATCAAAATAGAAAACATATTATTGAAAAAGAAGAATGCGTTTTGTAATAAATTAATTATATATTTGTGAATATATTTTATGTGACATTTGAGTATATAAATCTTCAGTTAATAAAAAGATACTACTAGATATATTGGTTGGAGCCGAGATTCACAGATTTATTAATGATAAGCTTGAATTAATTTTCAATAAAATACAACCTGCTGACATACAGGGTCATAACAGGCAAATTGTAGCAGCATGCTGATCTACTTCCAGCGAAGTTACAGGAATATAGAAAATAAATTCTATGACATATTTACATCATTTAGGGTACAGGTTATTCTGGCATAAGTAACAAAACAAACAAACAAAGTTCATGTTACTGAAGCTTAATTAAAACACCAAACCGTTATTTTTAACACCTCAAAACCTTCGAGAGAAAGATTAAACTTTTATTATTACTCCAGTAATAGTCATAACTACAACAAAGGTTCCAAACAGTGCATCACAGGTTAGAAAAATCGAAACTACTTTCAACCCGATACTCGAAGATATTCTCAATACAGAAATTATTGAATATTTCATCAAACTGTTACGTTTCCACCCGTTGGTTGACCAATAATTGACAACACTGAATAAAATCGAACTTATCTTTATTTTACGTTAAATATACAAATACTTCAACAAAACTTCAATTATTATTTGACTGAGAAAGGGATTGTTTGGGTAACATGATCAATTAAAAAAAACAATTGTATTCTTTCTGACGTTTCAAATTCAATTAAATTCTTCTTCAGGGCTCGAAATTTTTTGTTGCAATGTTTTTTATTTTCATTTTTCAAATATGTACCTAACATGTCTGATAGTTTTTGAAATAGTAATATTATCAACACGATAAAACTACTTTTCGATCCCTGAAGAAGGATTTAATCAAATTTGAAACGTCGGCAAAAATACAATTGTTTTTTTAAGAAAAAAATTGATCCTGTTACCCAACCAACGACTTTCTCAGAAAAATTATTGGATCACTAAACTAGTTGACCTATTTTTTGAATGTCTCTCACCTCACTAGATCACTTCGCGTACCGCACTGTAACGTCCACTTGACTGCCTCCATAACCTCGTGGCTAGCCTTCAAATATCGTAATCGAATGTTGTCGAAATTTCTCCGAAGTTCTGTCAAAGTCGGAACCATTATTCTCGCTGCTTCTCGATTGGCGGGAAACCATCGTGCACTCGCGCGTTCTTAGCCACGTCACGCCTGGTTTAAGACTGCCAGCGGCGGCCGGCGTTATTTTCTTTCGGGCATGATTTACAACAATACTTTTCATTCAAAGTTGTCATTTTCTATAAAACGTGGAGTGATAACCCACAAATATAAATGACGAACTGGTTAACTCAACACATCGTATTTGAAGTTTTTTATTTTACGAAAAGCTCACTTTAATGAACGGTTTTGAAAGTTTCATCATGAAAATCAATAAAAGCATCATACGAATTACACAAAAATATTTTCTGACAATTTTTCCAACAATAAATAGTAGCACGTTTTTTGAATTTTTACTATAGCAACAAGCTACTTCAGAACGATGCACCCCATTTACGAGTATTATCGCTGTCGTTCTCATTTCCACGGAGAAATAGCATGTGCACTCTCTTCCATTCAATGGACTACACATAGCAATAATGCTGTTTCCTCTTCTACCGCATGGGATGGTTTGCTGGTACCTTTTTGTCGCACATTTTCATTCGGAGAAATCATTCACTTTTTGAAATTAACAACCGAAATTCAGGAGTGATTTTTCTCATACAGCCCTATACCACCATGTTTCTAATGAAATAATCCTCATTAACTTCAATTTAATAACCAGATCCAAGATTTGTGTATTCTGTAGACTTCATTTTTCGATTGGTATGAAATTTGTCTACTACCCAAACCAGTGAATTTGAAAAACAAAAAAAAAAAAAATAAATTGTTGATTAATCATATTCTGGGCTGAAATTTTTGTCAACCCATTTGCAATATATTCATTGACATATACGATTTGATATGAAATACTTGTCATCCATTAACCAGTTCTGTGAGGGTCATTTTATACAGGGATCTTAGACTAATAAGCTTTCACGGCCTGGGTCACGATTTAAGAGATTGAAATTCAGGCTGATAGGTCGTGATCAAATGGAAATTTTAGTACCGAAAGTTTCTTCTATTGCATATCAGCTGATACTTCGAGATATAACCTTCGTCCTCGCAGTCCACGCATATACCACTGATGATCTTTCGCCGTAGAAGACGAAACGTTTCGTACTACAAGTTCCATCCGATCACAACCTACTAGTTCGGATTTTATTCACTTGGACTAGGAAAATTTTTCTCATGAAAAATAATCGCTATTATCTTTTATTGAATGAAAATATTCATTACCACATCCACTTGTTCCAAATCATTTCCAAATAAGTAGCTCCTGAGTATTGCACAGGAATGTAACTGCCAGGCATAAAGCCCACAAAAATTATACAGAAGTGATGTAGGCAATGGAATTCTGCCGTGTAAAAGTAGGTATCCTATTTTCTGAAAAAATAAAATGAAAAGCATATCATCAAGAACCAGAATCATCAACTGGAAAATATTAGTAACAAACGGTTTCTTATTATATTTTTGGTAGTCGTCTGTATTTTTCAATTTCAAGTACTAAAAGGTCTACTTCGGGACAAAATTTGAAATGTTTATTAAAGTTTCAGGGCATACTACGATATTTTATCTTAGTCGAAAATCGGGATTTTTTATTAGCGATTTTTTT